TTTTTCCTTCCAAGGATACATCATGGGATGCCGAAATCCAAAAAGTTTAACAGAATCAGCAAACTTCATTGTGTGGAGTCAATGTTGGCAGCAATGTTGATTTTTATTATTAGAGGATGCTTAGGCACGTAATCATTCCATATTAGGAATTCGCATTTCCTTATAAGGTAGGATGAAAATATCCCATGAGATACCACAAAATTACGGCACGCTGTAACTTATGGCGTTACGGTGACAGATGTATAATAATAATCTTTATTTAACGAGGGTAACATAGTTTCCCTAATATCTTCCTCATGGTCCTCATAACAAAATAACTGGAGGGAGATGGGTGTATTCGAAAATCTTACTTTTTAGTGAGTCCACTAGTCCTCATATGTTGCATTAGTTTTTGTAAATCTTCAATCGGTATTTGTGTTTCGCATTCTTCTGCGTTCTCAGCTAGTAACATTTCAACTCTTCTACAGGCAGCCATATCGCAGAGCCTAGCTAGAGCATGATGGTATGTCAGTGAGAATTTATCAATCAGTAGCGTTAGTAGCGCACCAGACTGACTTAAATGGATTGGTAGAAGACAGTTCAAAGTACGCTTCAACATACAGGGATTGGTAGAGAAGCTTTCACAGCGGAGGTGGAGTGCTTGAATGAAAAGACCACTAGCTGCTGGGTTACGATGTATTGCACTGTGGTGAAAATACAAACAAGAAAATTTACATTTCAAAAAATTTAAAGATATAATATATTTATACTAACTTGAGTTGTGTGTTTTCAGCATGCGGGTGGGTGAATACGACGAGTCGAGGAAAAATCACATATTAACCATATATATGGAAAGTTTGGCATTAAACAAACAGCATCCATTGCAATGGAATGCCATATGCAAACAAGTTAGAAGAGTTCTTGTTGTTATATTAAATACAACCTCACCAAATCTCGTCAAGAAAACTTATTAGGTAAATGATATTTTCACCGATTCAGATGATATTTAGGACTGCAAATTCACAGAGACGTTACAGGCAATTGCCTCAATACACAAAGACTTGCCATTTTACCCATCACAAAATACAGATTTTCACTATACTAGTCCTATTGGTCGAGGCAATTTTATCAAATTTAAAATGGGTGCCTTCTCAAATTCAAGTTCAAGCCATGAATATTGTCTGGTTTTGTTTGGTACAAGCAATTCACCCCAAATGGCCTTGTGGAAAACACAGACACAGGAAAGAATTACTTACTGACATTCTACAATTTGCATGAATACAACAACAATTATATTACATTGCTCATGGTGTAACACATTGAATGTATAGAAAATTTCACCTTATAAAATCTAGGACTGGAGGCTCATGGGATAGATCTATGATGTCACTGACATGATTGATTATAAGCCACGTCATTGGTTCAGCATCTGTCAGATTTTCACACTGAGAAGAAAATGAAAAAATTTGAGTAGTTGTATTCATGAAATAAGACATCAAGCAGATACTGCAGACA